AAAATTATTCGTAACGATTCTTAACACTTACAGTACTATTTTCATTGCTGCCTTTCGAGACGGTTGATGGGTTTATCCTTGTTCCGGTACGATGGGCTGTCTTCGTTGTTCCCTAGATTTAGGGGTCGGAATCTGCCGCCACTAGTTAGAATACTCGTGTTCTAGCAACGTGAACAGATCCTACTCCGAATTCTTGCCTCTCGAAACGGTGATGGAAGGTTCCTTGTTCCGGCACGACTGGGCTGCGATGGTTCTTCTTTCCGTCTAAGGGATTGGAATCCGCCGTCACTAGTTAGAATACTCGTGTTCTAGCAACGTGAACGGATCCTACCGACTGCGCCAATTTTTATATTTCACTTTTCAAAAATAACTTTTTAAAAAATATATTTATTAACTTTAAATTAAAATAAAAATCAAAATGAAATTGGACGTAATAACCTCGTGACGAGAGAATGTTATTAGACCGTTAAAATCAAACTAAAAATGGACATAATAACCTCGTGATGAGAGAATGTTATCAGACCGTTAAAATACAAGTAAAAATGGACATAATAACCTCGTGATGAGAGAATGTTATCAGACAACGTTTTACAATAGAAATTAGTATTTATAATAAATTTATGCTGACGTTGACGGGGTCGACGGCTGCGGATGTTGCGACATATCGTTGACACGACGTTTTCGCAATCGTTGCACTCTTGCAGGTCGGTGGCATTTAACCCATATGGACAATAGGATTTCCGGATATAACATATATATATATATTCTCACGTATTGATTCACGGATGGAAAAATGTGATGACACTATATTCCGGGATATCATCCGTTCGCTCGTTGAACTCCGACTGGAATCCTGCAAATCTTGCATCCGACTGGAATCCTGCAGACGTTTCGCCAAAATCTCACTTGGCATCTTCAATGCTCGCGCTCCGAGTGTTCGAAGTGTTTTCGGAGCGCGAGCATTGAAGATGCCAAGTGAGATTTTGGCGAAACGTCTGCAGGATTCCAGTCGGATGCAGGATTCCAGTCGGAGTTCAACGAGCGAACGGATGATATCCCGGAATATAGTGTCATCATATATATATATATATATATATATATATATATATATATATATATATATATATATATATATATATATATATATATATATATATATATATATATATATATATATATATATATATATATATATATATATATATATATATATATATATATATATATATATATATATATATATATATATATATATATATATATATATATATATATACAGGGTTTTTCACTTAAAACTCCGCACGCCAATAAGTCCAAAACGAAAAGAAATATTTAATTTATGTAAAAAGTAGTCAAAGTGTGGGGTCAAGTAGATATTTCCTAAAGTTTAAAAAATTCGACGCCTGCAAAGAGCTGGGCGTCGCGACGCGTCGAAAAATTATTCGATTGCAGAGACTTTGGAAATACGCGCATACAAAAGTACATATTATTTAAAAGCTTTTTTGTTATTTACTCAAACTTATTAACTTTACCCGTTTCTAAGTTATACCGATTTAAAGTAAACATTTCTTCATTAATAAAAAATGTGATTAACGCTTATTTTTACAAGTATGCCATGAATGTTAGTTACTATGGCAACCATTGTTATCGCAGTTGTTTTAAGTGCAATTACAAACGTAAGTTGTTATTGCTGTATCAAAAAATTGTCACATTTTGTCACAAGAAATATCCAAATTTGTTCGGTTAAAAAAAAACTAAGAATCATTATGTGAAAATGGTGCAATTTAGCAATGAGGAAAAAGTAGATATGTTACTGGTGTTTGGAGAATGCAGATGCAATTGTAGAGAAGCAAAAAGAGTTTACGCACGGCGTTATCCGCATAGAAGAGTCCCCGATGCAAAAACCTTTTCAAGTTTATGTAAAAACTTAAGAGAATATGGCAGCTTCATAAAACCTAAAAGAGATAGGAACAGGACGGCTACAAATGATGAAAATACTGCTGCTGTAATTCAGCAGGTTGATAATAACCCCAAGATATCCCTATCAGAGATAAAAGAAAATACCGGTGTTACCATAAGTTCTTCGTGGAGAATTCTACATAGAAACTCTTTTCACCAGTACAAAAGAAAACTAGTTCATAAACTAGAACCAGGCGATTATGCTAGAAGAATGTATTTCTTAGCGACATTGTCCGATTTGTATAGCCAAGATGCAAATTTTCTCTCGAAAATTTTATGGAGCGACGAAAGTCGATTTCAAAATAATGGAATCGTCAATAGACACAACTATCGTTTTTGGTCCGAAAACCATCCTCGTTGGATTACAG